GGCGGGGCCCGCGGAGCCCCCGGAGCCCCCGGAGCCCCCTGCGGGCGGCCCTGAGAGGGAGCCGGGCTGCGCCCCCACGGGCCGTGCCGGGGCTCCGTGCTCCGGGGTCAGTTTTCTGGAATTCGTCACGAAGGTGTCGCTTATAATAAACGGCTAATTCGAAATGAGTGGCGGAGGAGTTGGGCATGGGCGGGCGCTCTCCGGGTTTCACATTCCTTTACACTGAGCGCGTGAGTCACTTCAGAAAAATTAGGAAAAGTTGAGTCTGCTGGACTTCATCGTAGTTGGAGCCATCGCTCTGGGAAGTCCCTGTCGGTGGTGCTGGGACGGACGGGTGGCGTCTCCTTTGTGAGGTCCGACTCCCACACCTCAGTCTCAGGGTGCAGAGTGTCGCTAGAGTGGCGTCGGCACCGCAGCGGGCAGGGCAGGGGGCCTCCTTGCTGGGGGCGGGCACGTGGCGTTGGGTAGGTTTGATCGCAGACTCGCGGCCACTTAGGGCACGTCTGACGTATGCAGGGGGCTGTAATTTAATGATTCAGACCGTAAGAATTCGCTTTCTACAAAAGCTACTGGTTTTTCCTTAGGAAGTGAGTACTTTGCACTTTAGGGTGTGTAACTTCATGAATTTTCCTGGGAAATTGAAAAAGAATATTTTATACAGTCATACATCATATTGTAATCAATTACATAATACGTTGTATGATGTAAGTATTATAAGGAAGAAGCGAGGTGATGTGTGAAAATGTTTGCCAGCAGTTACTGATGCACTCAGATCTCATGAGTTGATTTGGAAGCTGGCAGACTGACTCGAATTTGCCTTTCATCGTTTTGTCCTTAATTTATTGAGTGGAGAGTGTGCCATGTGGATCATCTGGTTGGCGTTTGAATCTGCAGTGCACCGTTGTGCAGTAGCGACTCGACTGCTTTCCTACCCCGCCGTGGGAGGACGCTTCCTACTTCAGAGCTTTCAGAGTGGGCATTAGCACTGAACCATGGTGGGTGAATTCGGACTTGTAACATCAGCATTCTGCGCTTGTGATAGGTTTCAGCAGGTTGCATGTTTAAAGATTCTGGGTGCAGGAGCCTTTCCTTGGGGTCCTGTCCTCTTGGTTTACATCTACTTACATTTGTATGAATAGTACTTTATAAAAGTACTACATATGAGTAGTAACGTTCTAGTTATAACTTTCATTTTTGTTACAAATTGTTAAGCTATTGAAAGTGTTTAGAAGAAAACCCTGAAAATGGTAGCGAGGCAAATCATGTGTCCCAGGGGGCCTTTCCTGCGTTCCCCCTGGTCTCCGGGCCCCACATAAAAACGTTTTAGATAAAATGGGATCAAGAAGAGAGAGCCCATTGTACTGAAATTCAAGTTATCAGAATACTGAACCAAACTGGTGATAAGGTCCCTCGCGTGTCCTTCCTTAGCTCACTGGCTCTAGGAATTCCTTTGGAGTGGCGATAAGCATAACTGAGCGAGATTTCTGAAGCAACTCTAATGCTTTGTGAAAATACTTGTGGTTTCTGTTAGAGAATAAGCCACAGGCACTGAGGAAACTCTAGGGTTTAACGTCTGCCTTCATCACTGAATGAATGCTAAATTTCAGCGCGAGGTCATCACAGATAAAGATGTGATTTTTTTCTCATTAGGTTCAGAGACCAGGTTCGGAACCTCTGCACTAAACATTCATTTGCTCTCAGCCCATCCGTTAGTATGAATATGTATGTGTGGGGCTTTTCCTTCCTCATTGATTGTCCTGAGGGCACAGGGCACGAGGAAATAAAAACGGTTCAGATAAGGGAGCTCAAAGCTTAGCAGTTCCCGGTCATCAAGGGCGAGGATGAGGGAAGCTGCGAGAGCACGTGGGGCGACCGTCTCACGGCCGTGACAAGTTACCCTTCTGTCTTGCACAAGCTGTTTAAGAAGACACCGTTAGGGAGGAAAGATTCTCTACCCTTCAAGTTCTTCTGGCTGTACTAATAAGTTCACACAAGACAGGTTAGCAGGAGAAAAACACGTTTAATAACAGCTGTGGGCTATCTGGCTTGGCCTGTCCCCAGGGAGGGGCGGGCTGCTGTTGACACAGCCACCCCCTTTCAGCAGGGTCTGCAGTGGGGTTGGGTCCCTCAGAAGGGACTGCGGGAGGGTGGGCACTGTGATGACTGTTTCCAGAACAGTCTGATTAGACTTTTGCAAAAACAATGCCTTACTGAGACCTTGATAAGCTCTCAATGTGTTATATGTTGTCTGAGACTTTTTACCAAGGTTCGTACTTTTTTTGCATTGAAAAATTAGGACTCTAACTTCGTATCCTTCTAAATTCAGTTATGTGTTTATGTATACTTTTAAAACAAACAAACAAACAAACATTTATTTCAGCAAAATTCCCTGCAGCACGGGTGGATATAACGCTGCTACCCTCTCGGGTGGCGGTTCTGAGCCGTGGCGCTGCTGACGCTCGGGGCGTCCTGAGCATCCTAGGGTTTTAGCAGCATTCTGGGTCCCCCGCCCTGGTCATAAAAACCAAAAACGTCTTCAGATATTGCCACATGGCCCCTGGGAACAGAAGCCACCCCTGGTTGAGAGCTGCTGATCTGGAACAGTACTTCCCAAAGCGTGTGGGACGCGATCTTCGTAAGGGATCTTTGTAGGGGACACGCGTACCTTTTCACCTATGGATCAGTTAAGCTATTTTGCGTTGTGTTTTTAGTCAGTATTATTATGTATGTTTTTATCTATTTACATAATTACATGTTTCTCACTTAAAAAAATTAAGATCTCTACATCATTTTGTGATTTTATTTTTTTCTCTTGTGAGTTTATGTCCATGCCTGATGTTTCAGAGCCTTTTGAGTGTTTTGGTTGTGATGTTTTTTGTTTATTTTATCAGCCTCTTGCCTAAAAAGCTTGGCCCGGTCTCAGGGTGCTCGGTCGTCCGATGCAGACAGCGCCCTGGGAGGAGAGATCGTCTGCTTAGAGGGCCCCTGGCCTCAAGGGGTGGGTTCCTGTCTCTCACAAAGTGTAGTCAGTGCCCCTTCGTGATAAGGATGTCATGAAAGTTTTGAATGTCAGCTTCTGATGATGCCAGTGGTGGTCACAGTCTTAAAGACGAAGCTATGATGTGCATGTAAATCCTACTAGCCATAAGAGACCGCCCAGCTCAGACGTCACTAAAACATTCTAAAACCATTAACACACCTTTGTGGCTTGAATCTTGCTGTGCCTTTAGTGGGCATATGTGGACATTGGGCTTGGAACTATGTTTTTTGAACAGATTTTAACCATGTCATATCTGATTCTATTTGATTATGAAACTCCAAGTGGTACCTCTCAAATGTTGTTTGAAAAATAAAATGATTTAACAAATGTGTTCCTCAGAATGCCTTATCACGTCGCCGGGATGGGGGGTGTGAAGCCAGGATGGAAGACAGCAGACAGATGAGTGACACGTCACTGGACTATGGTGACAGACAGTTAGTGTCCCAAAAGGTGTCTTGGCAAAGGTCTCTCTTTTTGAATGTAGAATTTTCGACAGTTTTCTTGGACTCCGTGACAGCTTGATTTATTAATAAGGCCGAGTTCGGAAGAGGATCATCAGCATTTTGCAGAAGAGTGATAACCAAAAGCAGCATCTGGAGACAGTTCGCAAAGGTCTCCAGGCTCTTGCTCTGTCCCCAGACCTCTTCCGAGCTTCATAACCGTCTCTCTTAGATACGAAAGCGGAAATTACCCTAAAGTTTCTTGCATTTCTGTTAGCGGAATTGATTGTGCTCATTAGTTAAAGCAGCTTTTGAGAGCAGCTGGGGAGGTTCCCCGCTGGGAAGGGACACCCTTGGCTGGGAGAGGCAGCTTGCGAGGCTGGAGCTGCTTTACTGCTGGGCTGGGCGGTGCTGGGTGGCATGCGGTGCCCGGAGCTGGGGGCAGGAGCGGGGTGTTGCCAGAGGTGGAGGGGGGACAGTGGGGGGCTCGGCTCCAAGAGGGCCAGGCCCAGGCCGCTTCACTGGTCTTTGGCCAATCAGGGCCTCTCTTTTCTTTCTAAAATCCCCCACATTATTATTTTTTTTTTTTGTCTTCACATCTTTTTTTTTTTTGTATAATGGGTACATGGGAGTTTATTACATGTTTCTCTGTATTTTGGGGTGTGTTTGAAAATATTTACATCTCTTTTTAGAGTGACAGTTGTAGTGCATAAGACTTTAAAATATTTTCTCTTGGTAACTACTATGTTCTTGATAGGACGTCATTAAAATTTTTTATCTGAATTCTTGACTAGTCAAAGTAGATGTTCAGAGATAGCTTTGCTAAGTTTCTTAAGGTCCCCTGTTAAAGGAGGCTTCATAGTACTGTATTGCTGAATGTGTATGTAGATAATGAAGTCTAACCTTTAAATACCCCAAAATTCATTTCAGGGTTTTTAAAAAAGTTCTAAAACGATCTAGATGGACTTGCCTTCCCGGGTGGGCGTGTGCTCACTACCTGCACTGGGCCTGTAGAGATGAGTGCGTCGTGAAGAGTGCAAGTTCACGTGTGTAGGAATGTTCGTTTGTGTTCATTGGCAGAATGAGGGCCGTTGCAGAAATGGATCGGGACACGGTGTCAGTGTGGGTTTCGGTGGTGTGAGGGCAGCCAGCAGAAGACTGAAGACAGGGTACGTCCCCCCACGTGCCAGAGCGGGAGACGGAGCCATGGAGAACTGTCGTTTCCGCAAAAGGGGGTCAAGGAGCAAGGAGAAAACAAGGTCGCTCGCTGGGCGCATTAGCAAAGTACACAGATGGGGTGCACAAGCCCAGCCATCAGTGACCACAACTAATGTAAGAGGGTTCAGTCTCCCAAGGGATAAAAACTCCAGATTTGGCAAAAGAACGAAACCGAGCTACATTCTGTGTGTAAGTGATAACGTCTCAACCTAGCACGGGAAGGCGGGGAGCGGATGGAGAACTACCTCGGTCCTAACAGAGAGCAGGCCAGCAACGCTGATGTCAGATGGCACCGGGCTCC